TCCCAAGGACCAGTTGATTTGTGTGGAGATGGTCGCTCAGATAGCCCTGGGCACAGTGCCAAGTACGGTACCTATACTTTGATGGATGAAAAATCTGGGAGAATTGTTGATTTTTCACTGGTCCATGTTTCTGAAGTATCCTCATCGCATGCCATGGAATATGAAGGGTGCAAGAGATCTCTTAACAAATTAATAGCTCAAAAAGTTTCAATAAACTGCCTAACAACAGATYGCCACACCCAAATTACTGCTCAGTTACGAAAAAACTATCCCTCCATTAAACATCAATATGATGTATGGCACATAGCTAAGTGGGTGACTAAAAAGCTAACTCAGAAATCCAAAAAAAAAGCAAAATGAAGATCTTCTCCCATGGATAAAGTCCATTTCCAACCATTTGTGGTGGAGCGTACAAACCTGCAATGGAGATGCTGAGCTATTAAAGAGTAAGTGGGTGTCTATTGTTAATCATATTGCTAACAAGCACAGCTGGAAGGAAGGAAGAAAAACCCAAAAATGTATGCACTCCAAACTTACAAGGCAAGAGAAAAAGAAGACCCTCTGGTTAAAAGCTGGCTCACCTGCTCATGTGGCCCTTGAAGAGATTGTGTACAATAAGAAGTTGCTGAAAGACATCACTAAGTTAACAGACTTTCATCACACAGGAAATCTCGAGGTGTATCATTCACTTTTATTGAAGTATGCCCCTAAGAGAAAGCATTTTTCCTACCAGGGAATGATTGCCAGAACGCAACTAGCAGTTCTAGATCACAACAACAACTGCAGCAGAAAACAAGCTACAGTCAAAAAAGGGAAAAACCAAGGTAGCCACAGATACAAAGTGGTATTTCCAAAAGGCMGAAAAACATGGGTAGCAAAGCCAGTGTTAGAAGATAAATCATACGAATTCACAACAAGAATAATGGAACAGGTGATTGATGAGCATGAAGCTGGGACCAAATTCACAACAAGAAAACCAATCAACATACCAAAAAATATTGCAACTGCACCAAAACCACCAAAGGAAGAGGTGATCAAGAACCACAAGTCAAGAATGGGAAAAAATAAACTCAAAGCCTCCCATGATTAATTATAATATTGGTGGTAAGTGATATTATTATCATTAATTCTTATAATTATGTGTACAAGGTATGCTTGCAACAATTTTGGTACATTTATCAAGAAATTCTGACATCTTATCAAATTAAAATAATTGCTTTGTATATTAATTTAGTTCTACAGGGCTTGACACTAATGTATTTATTATTGTTATTTATCTTTTTATCATTCTACTTTTTAATTTTTAAGACATAATCAAATCAATATTCCAAAAATAAAATCATAATGAGCTTTACATGTCCACACTTTAGGTAGTTTGACTGTAACTAGTGCAAATAAAATCAACTAACCTGCTGGATTAGAAGCTTTTCAACATCTGACTACCAGTGAAGCTCATTTTTTTCAATTGCCAGTTTAACTCTGACCAGTAGTAAATATCTTATTGTGAAGTTGGGATAAGAAAAAAGACTTTAGGACTATACTGCTCCACTGTGACACTAGTGTCGAACCCTGATTCAAACTGTTATTTCTATACATCTATTTATTCATCKGAATAACGAAAGCCAACAAATTCAAAGTCTTCTTCTAAGCCTGGAGGTGGAAAGTGGGCTCGTATACACATGACAGCACAAGACGACAAAACAACCCTTATTTCTTTCCCCAAGACTCCCCAACACCATCTAACTAACTGTCTGTAAGCTGTGTGTCTATTTTTCTTATGTTCAGGCCCTTCATGGCATTGGTTGCCATATTGCTGTCGATACTGGARCCAAGCAGCCTCCAAAACCCATTGATTTAGACACACAGCTTTAAATCCAGGATTGTCCGTAATACAGGTAATGTCACTCTCCAAATTTTCCTTTTCAAAAACTTCACGATTTTTTTCGACTATCTCTTGTATTTCGTGGCAACAAATGCATTCTAGCTCTCTGTCCATGATTTGACAATGTCCACATTTGCACCTGAAGGTCGAAAGGGTGAAATCAAGTTTTGAATTTATACACGTTTTACAGCGGAATTAATTATAGATTGAAATGCTGACTAACTTTAAAGCTAATGTAAGAATAAATAAATAAATAAATAAATCATTTCGGCTTACCAGTCTAAATTATTAAGTCTTTCAGGTGTTGAACTGCTATATGAATCAGACGACGAATCTCCTTCTGAAGAAGATATTTCACGTGTTGGCTGAAATTGATAGCCTTCTGTACCGAAGTTTTCCACTTCAAGACTTATAAATTCTTCAGAACCATCGCTGGATGAGACTGTGTCACTAGAATTTCTTTCCTCGGAAGAAGAACTCATTATTTTTGTGTTTTCCTTCTTTGTTTTGAACTTTTTTCTCATCACTGATATGATCGAAGCACGCAGTGACGTCACACAGGGCATCTGCTGACCTATTGCAGGCTCAGTGTTGTATTCAAGATGGCGGCCTCCTGGGATTCAATTTATCGCTACTTTCAGGCAGGATTTCTCGAAAGCTACGAAAGAGAGGGACTTAAGACCTTAAGAATAAGTTGAGTATAATATAAACTTTTATTCCACAAGCGCTTCTCTCAAGGTGGTGTTCCCCTTTAATACTTATTTTTAAATTACATATGAAGAGTAGATGGGATGGGAGGGAGTTTTATAATGTATAAAAAGGAAGATAGGTGTCCTCTATTAGTTCACAAACAGTTATTGTAAACAGTTATAAAACTATAAACAGTTATTGTAAGAGAATTTCGACACGTAAATAAAGTAGGATTCAGAGGGTATCCACGAGTTTGCCATGCGGCAGTTTGTTTAGATAGGTTTGCCTATTGAATATATGTAAAAATTACCTGTATAAAAGGATCTAAATCAATGACTTTGATTATTTCACGTAGAGAAGTGGGGGAGTAATACTTTCCCTAGGGACACACAGCTTTCCTCTAGACCAGATGCTCTTGACTATAAGTTTATTCGCTTGTCTTTTACAAAGTAGAGGTTGCTGACTTGACTAACTCTAAGTATATAACCAACTGCAACAACAACTGACTGGAGACTCTCTGAAGACTAAATGAAGAATAACTGTAGACTGACTGGAGACTCTGAATACTAACTGCGATTGACTGAAGAATAACTGCAACAAACTACTAACCCTGAGTGAGCTCGTATTTAAGGGTTAAGCTAGATTACTACGTCACATAACCGGTTGTACTAGGTCAATTTAGATTGAACCAGTTAGGTTACCTATGACGTAAGAGCTTGAAACAGCTTGAAATCGTTTTCACGGTTCCCAGTCGAGTTGCACAATAGTGCTTCTCGGCTCTGACGTAATGTTTTCCCATTTCAGACCACGTGTCATTCCCTAGATTATCATTTCTTTGTTTAAGGTTTGCACATGAGACACATGAATATGGATATAACTCAAACAAAGAATATTATCATCAAGTGAATGACACGTGGTCTAAAATGGGAAAACATTACGTTCGAGCGCTCCAGAGCCGAGGAGGTTTATTTGCAGGCGTATGCCGGAAAGTGGTTGAACAAAGGAAAATATCTGACAATCGAGTAGTCGAAAAAAAGAATTTAGTTCACTAAGTGATTTATTATAGTTTTTATTTCACTAGTCACTTTTTCTTTAGAAGCACTCATTTCATTACTGCTGGTCATCAAGACTCACAGGTTCAGTAAAGGATGGGTCTTTATCTAAAGACAAAGGCGATTCTTGTTTAGCATTTTCGTCTAAAGCAGAATCCAAAGATTTCGCTGTCAATGTTAACGAAACCTTGGATTGGGAACATTCTGCGACGGCAGATATCAAGCTGTCCGATTCAAACGCCTTTTGTATTTCTAGAGGAGAAGCCTCTGCTTTCGGAAAAGTCTCTGGAATGTCTACGGAAGGCTTCGTGTATATTGTCGAACCGATTCCGGATTGCTGCTGATTGGGATCCAAATGTTTTGTAAGTATACCTGAGCCAGTATCTTTGCTTGATGTTTCTTGGTTAAATCTCGTGGTACAAACATCTTTAGTTTCTTTACTAGTTTCTTTGGATACATTTTTCGATCCCAATGTATTGATAGTGGAACAAGTAAACCGCTCTAGTGGTTCAGTCGGTGCTTCAGTAAGAGACACGCTCCTCTCATTTGTTTTGGATAAAGTATTCTTGATCGCCACAGCTTCAGACTCTATTTCCTTTTCCTTTGTTGCTTTACCAGATATTCCATTACTCTCCTTCGCTTCTTTTTGGAGAGAAGTCGTGTCTGGTTGGTCCTTCGATGCTGCTGTTTTGCTGACGTCACGTGGCTCTGACATTACTATGTCGTCAGATCCGAAAGCATTGTCGATCTGACTATCGACTGATGAATCTGCAGGGGTCTGGTGAGCCGTTGTTGAAGTAGAGGAAGTCTGAATGACATAAAACAATAAATAATAAAAAACAAACAAACAAACAAAAAACGGCGGTGTTGGCGCCGTTAAACATGAATACATTTCTAAATTTCCAACGGGTTAGTTATCTTAATCAAAGATGAAGCGAGAGATTATACCTGTGGTTTTGAACTTTGTTGGCAGAATCTTATTGCTCTGTCCAAGACTGAAGGCTGTGACTCTCCACCGCTTTGTAAGTCTGTGATGTCAGGCTGTAGAATGAAATTTTGAATTGCAGTGAGCTTGTTTTGTGTTGTCAAAACATGCAGTCATGGGTTGGGGTGGGTTAACGTGATGAGACGTGTCAGTAAGAGCAGTATCATAAGCAATGTCAGTACTTTATATCTATATTCATATTATGTTGCAGAAGATATTCTTTTATATACAGTCAATTCAAAAWATATTGTCGTCGACTAACTGAAGCCTACGCGACTGGACCGAAAGGAACTCTAGGTAATAAACATTGAAGCCGAGTTGACTCCATAATTTTATCTGACTAGTTATGCCTGGTTTACAGCACGAACCTTCGTAGGCGAGCGGGAAGTGACATTGAAGGAGACGGTTTTTTTAATGCCTTCATATTTTTGGAATTGTGAACTGAATCACTAACTACTTTGTTTTCCTTTCCCTAAACCCGAAGACATGCATTTGATGGATTGTTTCTCGCCATTATTATCTTATTACTAGCGGGAACAATTCATTCAGAACGAATATTTAACCGCTTCAGTAATTTTTACCCATATCCCTTTCGGTCCAGTCGAGTAGGCTCTGTGACATAATATGCTAAGATAATTTTTTGATTATAAAAGGCTAGGGATTTTAAAGAAAATAGTCTTCGACGGAAGTTTTCATTAGCTTTTTCTCTTCATAAATATTGCCTGTCCTAAAATCTTCTAAGATCATCACGAACCAAACTATGATAGTCTAAAGTCAAAATGTTTAATAGGCCATTTCAAAAACGAGTTGGGGACTGGGTCGAGTTTCACCTTGCAAGTGCTTATGGAATCGTTACTAGGGACAGGATTCGCCTAGGTGCCTTCGATCTCTTCCAAATTCTTCTAGTGAATCGAACTGTTAACCATCGTAAACAAAAACGCCAAAGTATAACTGCTGTGTGTCAGGATGTAGCAACAGCCATAGGAACCAAGCTCCAGAATTCAAGTTTTATTGCTTGCCAATGGACTTAGAACTGCGTAAAAAATACGATCATTTTTCTCATTCGAAATGCCATCATCTGCCATCTATCTTTCCATGGACTGTACAAAAAGAATGATGAAGAGAGATCACTAAATCTAGCGATCATTTGATTTGTATTTATCGATATCAAACCTAGTTTGTTGTCGTCGTTGTTTCGTCAAGCCCTTTTTGATGTTGTTCATTTTACTTCTCAATCTCTGCAGTTCACTTTTATAGAATCCATTTTCTTGTTGAAGTACTGTAGCTTCTGTTCCTTTTGGCGTTTTTTGTTTTCTTTTTCGGCATTACAAGAGCATGGTAAATCTTTTTGAGTTGCAGTAGAAGTAAGAAAAACTGGCTCTTGTTGTTGCTGTTTGATTCCCATGGCAACATGTTCAGCGTCACTCGATTTCTTTCTCTTACGTTTATGCTTTTCTATGTCTTTCTCGCCATGGAAAGATAGATGGCAGCATAGTTAATAAATATTAACTATGATGRCAGATGAGTTCGGTTCAATTTCTCTGATCTCCGCCTTGAGAAAAATGATCGTATTTTTTACGCAGTTCTAAGTCCATTGGCAAGCAATAAAACTTGAATTCTGGAGCTTGGTTCCTATGGCTGTTGCTACATCCTGACACACAGCAGTTATACTTTGGCATTTTTGTTTACGATGGTTAACAGTTCGATTCACTAGAAGAATTTTGAAGACATCGAAGGCACCTAGGTGAATCCTGTCCCTAGTAACGATCCCATAAGCACTTGCAAGGCGAAACTCGACCCAGTCCCCGACTCGTTTTTGAAATGGCCTATTAGAGTACGAATCACTTTTTTGCTGTCATTTTGATCCGTTTTTGGCGCCAAATGTCCGGTCCTTTTTTGTGTTTGCCTCACTAATTGCAGCGATCGCAGCAATCAAATGGAAACTTCAGATAGCTACGATCACTGCGATCATAGAAACACGTTTTTGAGCGATCGCAGCGATAGTAGTGATCGGAGGAATTCAAATATAAACCTTAAAAGTCTATGGCGGATTACGCATAATCTACTATAAAGGTATTCAAACAATACCAATCAACTATTCCACTGACGACGGATAATTAAAGCTGATATCTTTAGGACAACAAGTCATTGTTTACTTACTACTTTTTCTCTGTACATTTCGAAGGCCTTTACTACCAGATTTTCAGATATCTAAAACATATACACAAGGTTTTTAAAGTCATAATAAATGCATTTTAGTATGTATTTTTGTCCAACTTCTATTTACGAATCAACTTCTAGTAAATTTCATTTTAAATGACTAGCCTGCGTTTCTTGGCTGCCTTGTGTTGTTGCCCTTAGCGCCAGCCCCCCTCCCCTTCTCTCCTAGGCAACAACCGCAGACCACCGAGTAACACAGGCTCCAAGTTAATGATTTACTGCCTGCCATAAATCAGATAGTAATAAACACCTTTGCAGTCCCCTCGTATTTTTGTGCGATTTTCCAACATTCGTAGGCATCGAACAACAGCTGTGATAAAACCGCAGGCTCGACCTAAGCAATTAAAACAAATAGAGTGTGTGCAACCATGTGACTGATATATAAATAACGATGAAACAGCCGACATCTTGGTTGATTTAACAAGAGAAGCTAATGAGGAATGCTTTGTTATCAGCCAAGATGGCGGTAACATGCACCTGCTCTATTGATAACTCGAATATAATTTTTCAATCAAAATGTTCTTCATTTTTTATGAAAGACTATACATTTAACCCTCGCCTCCAGGGAAAGTTCATAATGCTTTTGGACTGTTGTTAATAACTGAAGAAGCTATTTCTTCAGCTGAATAACTGAATGGGTCTTAGATGTTGGGTTATAATAGTTAGAGGGTTTATGGAAAAGACCCCTTGCAGCAAGTCGGAATGCATCTTAATTTGGAGGACATAGGTTTCCAATTGTCAGAAGATTGAAATTCTTTTGTTTTGTTCTCAAAATTGAGCTCCATTGACGTCACATGCAACGGGTATATACTAGAATCATTGGGTGTTATTACCTGAGCATCTTGTGATTCTACCCGCTTTGCCATGATCTCGACAGAAAAGTCACAGGCCTTTTGGTAAACGACAAAGAAAACAATAAACAAACAATCAAACGGAAAAACGCCGGGAATTCATGCGGAAGGACAGACCGACCATGAACCACCTTTTATTATTTTATACTATTAGTATAAATGTTATAAATTAGTTGCTAATAACTAGTAATAATCATAATAATATATGATACAAAAGTGTAAATTGTGGAAGAAAGTTTGATATATACTAGTAATACTACATAGTGCAAAAGAGGTTTGCACCATCACGTGTCGGCGCCCACAATACAGCTTGGACTGTCTGTGGTTAGATGCAGAATAAAATCCCTTTGCTTTCGGGAATTGAGTTTTTTCTCATGTAAAACGATTGCATTGTTCCTGCCCCCTGTCATGGCTGCCATCACGCGATGGTGCAAAGCCTCTATACTGTGAACTATGAAGCTCCATTTAAAAATAGAGAAATATTTACCTTTTTGGAAAGAAAGTGTCGTTCGTTGTCACGAAGATATTTTCTGGAGAAAAGTTTATTAAATATCATCAGTTGCAGAAGAAAGCAGAGAATGAGAAGGCAATTCTTCTTGACAATAAACTGTTACTAACAGTGGTACCTCTATTAAAAATACACCTTCAGGACCTCTGATTTCCGCCAAATCAGTTAAGGTTTGTTGTAAAGTAAAAAAATGTGACATCTGTATTACAGGACCATAACCAAAATATATTGTGGCAATTTATAATATAATTGTTGAATGTGTACATGCAAACACTTCTTTACATAACAATGCCATATTCCAGCAACCTTTTCTAAGCAGGTATAAAAAAACTAGGAAAATTTCTTACTTTCCTGGCTCGGGTGTCCTGTGCAGCAAGTTAGAGATGCTTATTAGAGTGTCCCATTCATTGACGTCTCTTAGTACTTGTAATAAGAGGTCCACCGACTTGTGTGTGTGAGTACAGAAGCTACCGGGACTGAATTAACAAATAAAAATGCTCAGACAGACAGAAGATTAGGCAAATGAAACAAAGGTATATAAACGATATAAAGAAAAGGAACTGAAATGAAAAAAAAAAAGGAAAAAACAAGAAAACAAGAAACGGAAACAGGGAGTAGAAAACAACAACAAAACAAAACAAACAAACAAAACAATAAAAAACGAACAAACAAAACAATTAAAACAAATTTGAAACAAAGCAGAAAAGAGAATACAGAAACAAGAAATAAAAGGAAATGGGAAATAAAATAAACAAATACAATAAAAACAAAAACAAACAAACAAAACAAAAACAAACAAACAAACAAAAACAAACAAGCAAAAAGCCCACGGGATAACGTGAATCCGGCAGATTGTCGTAGAGAAAGGCAGAGGAAATTCATCGTACAACTAATCCTATGCTTTGTTCCAGCTATAAAATCTAAAAAACGTTTGAAACTGATACAACCAAAAAAAGCACCCGCCACTTTTACAAACTCAAAATGGCAAACTAAATAAGAACAAGCTCTTTGTACCGGTCAATATCTTCTTCGGGTATCCTCCAGAATGCCTGCAAGAGAATAAAGATGGAAAAGCAAATATTATATTAAAATGAAATCATTTTAAACTTATTTGAGATGCAGCTTTCGTGCAAAAGGCAAGCTTGCATAAAAATTTAAATATAGAATCAACCTTTTAGCAAGCAAACAAACATTATTTTAATTAAGCAAAACTTTAAAAACGTTTATGTTTGTAAGTTTAACTCTATCGTGCTCTACAGCTTTTAGAGTATTTTTATGCGAGCATTGGCCTGTTGTTATATACGTAGACTTGAAGCTAGCTTTGAAGTAAATACGGAAAAAAACAAAAACAAAAAAAAAA